TTTAATTAAGTTATTGACCTTATTCCCTCTTGTTTCCTCATTCTGCGTTGTATCTTCGTATTCATGTATTTCGTTATATTTATTTTAGAAATATTTGACTAAGCTTTCCTTTGCTCATGTAGCAGTTTGTTTAAGGCTTCACGAAAGCAGCGGTAAACGTTTCTCCCGCCCTACTGCCCCAGTTTAAAGCACAGACGACAAGTTCCGCAAGTAAGTGTTTGCTTTTGTCCTGCTTTCTTTGAGATGTATAGCGAAGTATGCCATGTTTTCCCTGATCCACATGTTTGAAGCTGGAGTGATGGCAGACAAAATCTCGAATTTTCTTATTTATTTTTATGTATGTTAATTATATTTATTCTTTTCGAACATTAGCAAAACAGTGCATACATGCAACTAACAGCCTGTAAAGCAACCATATTTTCCATTTTTAGATCTTCCTTAACGTGCCTGGGGTGAATGATAAGGCACCCACGCAACGGTATGGTTAGATTATCGTAAGCAAAACATGGCACAAAGCGGTTGTGGTGTGAATGTGCAGCACAAGTTTGAATTGATTCTCCTTTGTAGGTCTATTGTATTTTAATCGATTGACCATTTAACCTTAAAATAGCCATACTGATGTTCTAAGTTATTTCTCATTCATGCATAACGATTACCCACAGCTAGAGTTTAAATATTCATCCTCTGCGGCTGTAGTGGATTATGTCTGTGGTTTCTTACCTTCTCTTACATGAGATGTACAATTTTCGCTTTCCTCACAAGAGCTTAATTTATTTAAAACCTCCTTACATAAAAATGGATCTTTCTCCAAACGCACTGGTTGTAATACTGCTAAGTGTTGATGCTGAGTCTAGCTACTCACTAAATGTTGAGCACCTTAGTATATGATGCTGCAGAATTTAAATTTGTGTTAAAATTAACGTGTTGGATTATGTAGCTACCGTTTAGTGAAAAGCTTTGAAATGTTGGGTAGATCACGAACCACAGGTGCGCTGTTAATTTTCTTTGGTTGAGGCTATTATCGCAGGAAACAGCGGCACTTGCAGACATTCCTCTTGCTTAATCACTCCTTTATTTTGTGCTTCTCGCCGTTAGCATCTCTGGAGATATTGGATAGTACAAATTTTTCGAAGAATATATCTGGCTTCACTTTAGAACCCACTTAAAAATATGATTCTCGAATAACTTCGTTACACTGTTCCAACCGTAAATGAACCTTAAGTTGTTCAATCACACTTAAATTTTTCAAGCTTTAATTATGCACCTTTTGTTTAAAGTTAACTTGTTTTATATTAACCGGTATTGTTTTTTAATTTGGACCTATCTCTGTTTCATCTTTGCCAAAAATCAGTATAGTTTTGATGGCTCTGTTCGAGGAGTAAACTTCCAAGAGTCATCTGTCAACATGCATTCTTTGTTCTTGTTTGATAAAATCTAAGAGACCAGAATCGCATCTGTTGCGCCACATGTTTCTGGAACCATTTTTTTCTGCTGCCTTTCCTCATTCTTATTCTTTTTTCCCTTTCTTTCCTTTTGTTTTCCGTTTTAATTTCTTTCGTGGTCTCTTTCGCCTTTTCCGTCTCATCACCATATTCACTTTTATTTCTTTTCTTTACTTTCCTGCTTCTGTTTGTACTCTATTTCCTTGTGATTTTCTTTGTCATATTTTTTTAGTGTCTTTATCTTTCTCTTTTTTTCCCTCTATTTACTTGTCCGTATTTTGTTCTTTGCATCACTCATTTTTTGCTCCTTTCTTTATCGCTTTGGTACTTTTTTCGTTAGATTTTCTCTAAACAGAGTAATCTCTATTTTTCATATTCGTGTGAGTACAAGCAACACCAGTAGGAATGATA